TGGGTGCCCCGTCTCCTTACACAAACTGATCCTGCCACCTGGTTCTGGAGTTCACACAGAAAAAGCACATGCAATAGATCTGATGGCTGCATTTCAAACTCTACTAATAATCTATGGCTTGTTTGCAAAGGGGAATAAGAATTTACTGTATTTTAGTGCGAAATATACTATACAATTACTTTGTAATTGTAAAGATTTTGTATCTAAGAATGGATATGTGTGTATTGCTAGTTTTGTGTATTGCTAGTTTTGTTAAACCTGTTAAATGTTTTGTGATTAAAGGCAGCTTGTTGTTCCCAAATCCATACTCACATCAGAGCCTGTTCACCAGACGAGGCTCTAAGCTTTGATAGCATCACATCTGTACACAGTACCTAGAGCAACCAAGTCCTGGGGTAATGGCTTTTCTACACATAATGATGTAACTCCTCTAATTGGACAAATTTATACCATTGAGAGATTATTTTTGTGCCTATAGCTTGTTTCCCTATGTCCATTGTTCGTGCCCACGAGGGACTTGTCTCCTTGTAGGTATTTCAGTAGAGTCACATATCTCTTACCTGTTGCTACTATTTTCAAGCATGGTTGGTAATGCAGTTACTGTCTCTCATACATAAGGAGCAGGCAGACTAAGCTGAAAACATGACTTAATATTTAAAAATTAATAAATAACAATCTCATGCTATTTTTGCCAGTCCTGTAGTTTACAAAAATCTGGTACTGATGATCTTACCAACAGCAGGCTGAATAAAACACTGTAGAGCTGGTACGTGAACAGCCTCAGTTAAAACGCATGTATGTGGAATTAAATTCACTCCCAGCTGGGTGAAGTGTGGGGCACTGAGATAAAACTTTTTAACTTTTTGACAGGGAAGGTGGGAAAGATTTTTGGGACAGGACTGTCTGTTAAGTTTTGGGTTTGAATTGGTACCTGTAATGTTCGTGAAGATTGCACATGCAGTCACAACACTAGCCAGTCCCAAATGTACGACTTCTTCATCTTGACTGGGCTGTGAATATAACTACAAAAGGCTACAAAAACTGATGGTCTCTTCTGATTATTTTTAGCTCTATATTTACTACAAAGGAAGACAAACTCAGTTGCTTGTGCAGTTAAATGGCCTAGCTGGAATTATTATATAGATATCTGACTCATTAGTCCCACATACACAATAAAACCTTAGTCTGTGCAGGATTGAAATCATGTAGGATTGTGCCTTTGAAACTTGGGCATGTATAGATGCACGAAGAACTAAGCATCAAAACATTCTGACGTTTTTCTTGAGACTGCCTAGTCGGAAAAGATTCCAAGACTGGTGATCCCTGCTTTCTTTGCTAGATTCACCCAGATTCATATTCCAGTCTTACTTCCCTCTCACGCTCATTCACCTTGATTAAGTATTACTTAATCCAAGTAAGAAGAGAGACAGTCCCTTCTTCCCTAAAACACTACTGCATGGATTCCCACTTTGGAGCTGCCTGCAGTGCTTGAGCCAGCTGGAAGAGTTTCATGGATCCTGACAGAAGTGGATTCTACTCCCATGTTTGCCTTCCTCTTTAATGAGTTGTTCACTGAATAGGAGGTACAAGGCTCTTCCCTAATGGCCAAGAAAATGCTCTGCCTCACAGTGAAGCTTTTCTATAATTAATCCTTATTTTTACCTAAACATAAAAAAGTGCTAATCTGCTTGCTGTGCCAAAGGATGCCCCCATGCCTCTGGGCACTCGTCAGTCCTGCCAGTTGTATCTGAAGGATTCTGTCATATGATGACAAGTCATAGCACACCTTACAATTTTCCTTATTATTATCAATACACCATAGCTTTTAAATCTCAAAGAAAACAGTCACTGTGAAAAATACGTTTACACTTCTTTTAGGTAAGGGCAGTCCATCCAAACCTGTCTTGAAGTCACTGCAACCTACTTCATTAGACAGGAAATTTAAAAACTGAAACTACCATATAAGGATATTTTCAAGTCATACTTTATTTGGGTGTGCTCTCACCACCAGTCACATGGACAGAAAAAGATGCACAAAGCAGAACAGTTTCTGCATACATTACACATACGTGTGATTATTGAGCAATTTATTGCTGGCCTGTAAGTAGAGCAGTATCCATGGGAATCTGTATGAAGGGTTTCAGGATACAACCTTTGTGCATTCATGCATGCAGAAGCCTACAAATCTGCAGCATCATTAAAATGTGCATGTTTTAAAGATAGCTGTGACTTTCTAAAAGCCACAGATTGCAGAAAGAACAGAGTCCTTAGCTGAAGAGTGTCATTTGTGTAGCTGAATCAGCCAAGCTGAGAGCAATGTTCAAATTTACTCTAGGTGTATCTAGGCAGATAGATATTTATTTTGTTTTTTGTGTCTGTGAATTCCTCTATACACCTCTGTGTATTTCAGATCTATTTCTTAAAGAAATACTTTGTTTGCTTTTTTCTTAAACTGTTTTGGATTAAGGATGATTTAAATTATAGGAGGTGTCTTACTTTTAGAGGCATGGCAATCTGTAACAGGGACTGGGCTATTCTCACAGAGATCACCTCTCTCCTACACTTGTCCAAACCTACAGCACCCTGACTGTGTTTGTAACAGCTTAAAAAACTATATTCTTGTAAACTGAAACTGTCAAATATCTTATTGGCTTAAACATGATTCTGTTATGTTTTGTGATGCTGTCTAGTGTTTTATTTTGAAATCCACTTCAGTGAAGTCTCCATGATACAAATATGTCCAGAGAAGTCTCAATAAGTGTATTTAAAATGACAAGAGCTTTAAAATTTTTCAAAGGGAAAGCAAGAGAGTAGGGAA